GTCTACATGTAAACACACCAACAATGAAATGTAGCTACTAGAGTCATCAATCAGCTGTTCTAACTCTAAACAGGCTGTTGAGTGTAAGAATTGCAATGTTGAATTTACTTAAAGGAGACGTCCGGATTATTAATTTTATTTGATGGCACCATCTAGTGGCTGACGGGTGCATCACACCAAGACCAAAACCAACACCTCTCGTTTATGAGTGTGCTCCTCTAGCCGACAAAAGACCTAAAACACGATGTTTTACAATCATAACGCTCATGTTATGTTGTGTGTTCATATATTTATATTTTAAAGACCTCTCCACAAGAGAGGTTGTCAAATCTGCATCAACCGAGATGCGTCCTTAAACGCTCGAGCACGCTTTGTGATTAACGTCAGTACGTAAACTGGTGCTCAGTTTATATTGCATTGAGGTCTATGTTGCAGGGGGCGGGCTTAGCAAATAAATAAATAAATAAAAACAAATAAGTAAAGGTGCCTACATTATATCTCAGTACATGATAACACAATCGCTTTGATGGATTTCTGAAAATCATGCATAAATAATGAAAGGGGAAAACTGCACAGCAGCTTTAACCGTGTTACTGGTTCCACCACACCTAGTTGATTAACTGTAAAGAGTAATATACTTTTACTAACATAGCAACGTAAGTTACTCTTTACATTTAATCAACTTGGCTTGGTGGAACCAGTTGACATAACTTGGTTAAGTAAATTCAACTTTTAAATTCTTATAGGCTCGACACACGGGAGGCGACAAACGACCGCGATCAATTTGTCGCTATCGCTTTTATTACCTGACACACGGGAGGCGACCCGCGGCAGCGGCCAGCAGCAAAGCCGTCTACGCGTTCTGTTCCATGGCGAAATGAAACTTCTGTTGTTTTGATTGGCTGTGTCCGGTTGGAGGGAATTAAGGTTATTTAAGCGGTTCAGAGTTAATAAAGCGGTAGATATGATGTTTCACAAGGTGCTGCTAGGGTTATGTGAAATATTACTTCTGATTTTACTATAAAACATAATAATAATCAACTTCTCCTCCATGTTTGCTCGGAGGTGTACGGAGCATCCTGTCCGCTCATTGGTCAGTGAATGAAACCTCCGTTGATTGGTCCTCGTCCGAGCGACAGCGATGAAAAGTTGAAACTGTTTCAACTTTCTGGGATCGCGTCGCTGGGTCGCCTGTGCACGACACGTGCACAAGCGCTAAATTTCGCATGCACGTTTTTCGCGTTTCGCTTGGTAGGAGGGAGACCCCCGATTATCGCTTTGTCGCGTATGTCTCATTGAAAATGAATGGAGGAGAGGCGATGTTGCCTCCCGTGTGTCGAGCCCATTACAGTGTAGCAGTGTAGAGCATTCTGCTCTCATGACTAATGTGATTTTCAACCTTCATTTGAGCTGTTAATTAACACAGACCTGATCCTCATCATCACCCCCACCACCACCACCACCACCACCACACACACACACACCACCACCACCACCACTACCACCCTTTCCCCTGTGCATTGACATTGAGGTCAAAGAGCAGTTTGAAACCGTCCGATTGCACAAATTCATCCACAAACACTTGATGTTAGTCAAATGCAAGGTCATGACAAAACCATCCATCACTTTCAACAAAAGAAAAAAACAATTGATTTTCTCTTTGACAACTACTAACACTTGCTATCTTCCCTAATTACAGGAGTGCAGGTTGCTCTGTGCTTCAGCGTTGATTAATGGAGTGTTCTCAGTTCTATGTTTAAATATAAAGAGTTTTTAATTTAGATCGTGGAATAGAGCAAGTCTTTTACTGTGAATTCAGTGGTGCTGGTCTCGGTTACATTAGCCTGCTCAGGAAATCATGCATCTTCAAAGTGTGATTGAATTTGTCACCTTACTTTTTTTTTCTTTTTTCTGCGTTATCAGAGATTGTCTTTTTGAAGATAAAGCAGAACGTCAGTCTAAAGGATGTAGGGCTGCAACTAACGATTATTTTCATAATCGATTAATCGGTCGATTATTTTTTCGATTAATCGGTTTGTTATTGTTTAACTATTTAACCTATACAAGTGATGAATACATTTCAGTTAAGAAAAAGAAAAACATAAGAGAATTGTGCAGTTGACTGCAATCTATTTTATTGCACATGAACACAGTCAGCGGTGTAAAATGAGCTAAACAGTGCAGAATATCAGTCCAGAATAATTTTTTGGCATCAAAATATAAGAGGTAAATTCCATAAAAAATAATGTAGAATCTAGAATAGAGTTTGTAAGTGGTATGCATTGCTGGGGGGTGAGTGTCTTGTTCCCCGTGTAGTTGTCCATCGTTGTTTGTTTTTTTCTGCATAAGAAACACAAATAGACTGAAATAAGTACACATATAAAATAAAGCAGCACACACACTACAACACTAAATCAATATTACATTATTTGAATTAATTAACAATATACAGTGATCATTTATTTTGACAAAAATGTGTTGTGAGGCGTTTTACAGTGTTAGACAGTAAAACAGCCTTTTAATAGTAAAAAAAGGATTTTCTGAATTTCTCCTGTATTTAAAAATTGAAAGCGTACAACTATGCAGCGTTATATTCACCTGGACATAGCTTGTCTGTATATTTTTCTCCGCGGAGTTGTCCTTTTTTGAATGAGGAACATAGTTATTGGTTTGTGCCGTTTTTCTCTTAACGAGAACATTCTTATAAACAGACGTGCTAAATTTGGCAAGCGCATGATACACAACACGGAGGAGATTCACCATTGCATCTAGTCAATCAGAAGTAGAACACCGTAGACTGACGCGGCAAAAAAACATGTTTAACATCCACTATAACCTAACCTAACATGGCACCCAGCTCCTGGTGCAATCTACTGTCATCTCCCGCCTCGACTACTGCAATGCTCTTCTAACTGGTCTTCCAGGCTGTACTGTGAAACCTCTTCAAATGGTCCAGAACGCAGCGGCGCGTCTGGTCTTCAATCAGCCTAAAAGAGCACACATCACCCCTCTGTTCATTGAGCTCCACTGGCTACCGCTAGCAGCACGCATCAAATTCAAATTGCTAACACTAGCATACAAAGTCCGAGATGGTACGGCTCCCATCTACCTGAATCCTCTTGCAAAGGCTTACGTCTCGGCCCGGCCGCTCCGGTCATCACAGGATTGTCGGCTAGCAGTGCCTACACCACACTCAGGACAATCCAGACTTTTCTCATGCATCGTTCCACAAATGTGGAATGACCTACCTAACACTACCAGAACTGTGGCTTCCTTTTCTATTTTCAAGAAACTCCTGAAGACCCTGCTCTTCAGAGAGCATCTTCTTAACTAGCACCTTGTCTGCACCCGTCCCCCCTCTCTACTGTCCACTCCTTGTTCCCTCCTCTCCATGACTGATGTCAATTTGTTGTTGTTACTATTGTTGTTAGCCTCAAGGGCAAAATGCCGATTATCACTTGTAAGTCGCTTTGGACAAAAGCGTCTGCTAAATACATAAACATAAACATAAACATAACGAACTCAGCTCCCAAATTTGATCTGCGTTAGCTTGTTTATTTTCTGTTACTTACCGGGCTGGCTCTTCCTCTGCTGCATCAGCCCCCACATGTTTTCATCTCAAATGTTCACTTAGGGACGTCGTGCTTCCTTGCCATGCTAGATGGTTTTTGCATATTTTGCAGGTCACCCGTCTTTTCGTGACATCTAGAGTGAAGTGCTCCCATACTCGTGAGGTTTCTGTCCGGGGTTTCTCTTCTTTTGTCGCTTCTATTTTTCTTCCGTATTTCTTCTTGTTCCGCCATCTCTCACAGCAAGATGAGCGTCAGTAACGTGATACGTCATGAAAACCGAGGGCACTATTGGCTCATTTCTTCTTCTACGGCTCCACTGGTAGATCAGTGGCTCATTACTGCCACACACTGGCGGCAAATTTAACAGATTGTAACCGATGTCAGATAGTGGTAAAAAATAGACTTTATGCGGTAAAATATGATTATTAAACAACTAATCGATGACTAAAAAAGTTGTTAACTATTTTAATAATCGATTTTAATCGATTAAATCGATTAGTTGTTTCAGCTCTAAAAGGATGCTATTGTCTCGTTTCTTCTCAGCGACCCAAATAGCAGGATTACTGACTTCCTGGGTGTTTACCACTAACAGGGCTGAGCAATGGCTGTTTACAAAGGAGATAAGTCTCAGCTGTTTATAGCACTAGTTAGAAATTGCATAGAGTTGGGTTGAGACTTCTTTCCATATTTTTCTGTGACGAGGGAAACTAAGCTGTCAAGTGAACAAGGTAACATTCTCCACGGAAATTATTCTCAAATGTAATGTTGAAAAACGACGGCTAAGTCAAGAGTTTTTTTCTCCCTTTATACAGAAAATACAGTTTTCACACTGTTGGGTATTTTTAAATCCTGAAACTTAACCCTGAAATGAACCACACACAGGAGAAGAAGTCAGTAGGATTTATGCTGTGAGGAGACAGCAGAGAGAGATAGGTCGGAAACCTGTCCAAGGCCCCCGTCCCATCAACTCTGGCCTGTTCTCTCCACCACCGATGGTTTTATTGAAACACAGGGAAAGACGAAGAACCATTCATCACTGTTTACAGTTAACCAATTACAGTGTTTCTAAGGCGGGACCTTCTAAAAAGGAAGTCTCAAGTTACAGGATGCCTGCAAGCTTCCCTGTTGCCAAGCAGACCCTTCCCAACCCCCATGCTTATCAGGCCACATTCCACAGCTATGAGGAAAGGAGAAATAACTCTGTGGCTTTCTTATTGACATATGATTAAAGAGAAGCATTTATGACAATAATACATGGAAATACCTGACACACACCATGATGTGAAACTTGCCTTCAGTGTTCTCACTGCTCCAAAAAGTCACTTAACAAGCAAGCAGCTGGAAAAACTGAATTTCTGGGTTATATGGTGCTTTAAACACTCCTGCTGTCATCTTTTATTTTGATTTATGTCTTTATTAACCTCACAGGCTGCCTTCCGCACAGACCTTTCTGTGCTGCTGGAGCAGGTTGGGAGTGGAAAAGAGTCCCTGAGCTTCATGAAGCGCCGAATCAGACGCCTCGCTCAGCAGTGGGCAACAGCCGCGAACCGTCTGGACCTCAAACTGGGGCAAAGATGGAGGGATCAGAAGAAGGTAGGAGGCTTTGCGATGTTTGGAGATGTTGTGGTCCTTTTTAGCCAGGATCTCAGTCGCAAGTCAGTAAGGTCTGTTGGGTGACCACAATGGGAAACACCATGGCAGTTTGGAGTCCCAGTTCCAGGAGTATCACATGTCATCATGAATCCTACCTGAAATCATTCTCCTGTCAGTAAGAGGCTGCAGCAGACTGGAGGGATGTGTGTGAATTAGAAGTTGCTGCATGTTTGTAATTCACCAGAGGGCATGTTGCTTTTCCTTCAGTAATTTCAAAGTCTGCTGCACGTTTACTCCTTCAATGAAGAAGCATTGTATAAATGTTCGTTTCATTTTTTGCGGCGGGTCTGAATCTGTGGAACAGCCTTCCCTTACAACTAAGGATTGCACAGAGTGTGGAACGTTTCATATCCCTACTTAAGATCCAGTCAATGTGGTTACATGTACACTGGCCAACATCTAGGTCGATCCAGGTCGGTCTTATTGTAATAAGCTGGGAGTCTTTATCCAAGTCTCCATGCACGTTAGAAAACCGGCCTCTCAAGTAAAGGTTGTTCCACTCTGCAACAGCAGGTGGTGACATGCCCCTTTTCATGTCAGCGTTATGCCGGTTAGCTTACAGCGACACAAGCAGTGAACAGAGGCTGGCGGGAGTGAAGCAGATGGAATTGAAACAGGATGTGCACAATGGGTGAAGACATGTAAAACAAGAACGCTGCAGCAGAGCATATTTGGTGCGTACTGTCCTGTTTTATGATGTTACGTGTATTGCTTTGTGATGTTGGTCTTGTCAGAATACCGCTTCCGTGGTTTCGTCACTTCCGTAACGCGAGCGTCCAACCTGTATCAGTTCGGCTGACCCGTTTACATGCAGGATGTAATCGGATTGCAATCACATTATCTGGGTGCTTCAGATGACTAGAACCGGTCCACCTTCAGCCAGGCAAACACGTTTACTGCAATTAAAAAAACAACGTGAGTGATAGGTAATTTTTCATTTATCCCATATTACCTATTACAGAGAGAGAGAGTAGATTGATTATTTGTAATTTCCATTACCCCGAATCGTCATGCGAGAGCTGGGCGCTGAAAACCCTTCCATGGAGCCAACCGGAAACCTCCCCCACTCTGCTCCAGACAAAGCCCTCAGCTCACCAGCTCTGCATGGCCGCATTCTCCACCAAAATGTTGGGTAATTAAATGTTGGGTAAGTTTTACTTCTCCATAACCCTGTAACCTGAAATGAATACACAGGACAAAAGGGAGACATTTTACACTGAATTAGCCAAATGAGAGGGAGACCACCAATGACACTAACCCTCTCCAGAGCTAGATGCCATACGACTCCCCCTTTCTTCAGAGTTTCCAGTGGCTTTAATCAGCAAAGGATGGAGAAGGCGGGGCCTTCTCGGGTTACAGAGGTACAGAGACCCATCACCCCCCACACAAAGGAAGATTCACAGACCAAGCAAAATGAACATTTAATAAAAATACCTAACAGTGAGTCTTTTTAGTACAGGAGTCAAACTCAAACTCACACTGGGCCGAACTGAAAACCTGGGATAGTCACGGGCCAAACTCAATATTTTTGAAAAAGGGACGACAAATATGCACATTTTCCTTTATCTACAAATAAGTACTGTTGAAACTTTTCATTTGCAAACAAACAGATTTTGCAGTAACACTGAATACGGAATTATCAAATTACACATGAGCAAATCTATTTTAAATAAAGCACACATCAGTGGTATTCATTACTTCTTATGTCTCAGTTTTTTTTATTATTTTTATTCCTTAAATTGTGTACATACACAGCATTTAAAAATATTTTGAATCTTTTAGATATTTCTGTTTTGTGTTCTCTTGTTGTTTACCCTTTATTCTTATTATTTTACTCTCCTTTTCTGCTCCTGTAATGAATGTTATTGCTGCTGTGACACCGAGCTTTCCAATAAAGGGATTTTCTATTCTATTTTATTCTATTCTATTCTTTTATCTGTAATCTTTCCAGTTCCTGTTTTAAATAGGTTAAATGCTTTTTCACAGGCCAACACCAAAAATTTGAAAAATAGTAATTAAATGAAAATGCAACATCTCACCTGTTATCTTCCATGCTTTGGAGCAGAAGAAGTGCATAAAACCACAATATTTCAAGTTCAGTTTGCTTCACTCTGATTTCCTCTGACACTCACCTGTTCCTGCCAGACACCTGTATCTCTGGGGTTGGGCTGTGGGCTGAGGAAGGAGATCATCAGTGAGACTCCTGTGTTGTTCTGACAACAGTTGCTCACATAGGCTTGTGCTGCTGAACATGGAGAGCATGTGAGCAGCTGGATCACGCTGTTGTGTGAGTGTGTCGGGGAGGAGAGGTAAAAAACTGCAGCAGCCACAGAGTCATTCTGAGCGTGATGCTAAACTGGAGTTAAATCATCTCGGTCTGGAAGCTGGTTGGTGTGCTTTCCGTGTCGGCAGCAAATAGAGTACTGAGCTGTTCAAATCCTTTTCTGGGTGTCAAAGTCGACAAATTGCTGAGTAAGAGGTTTTCAGTTTGTTTGAGACTGAATAGGTAACGAATAGTAGCATGGATGCTAATGAATGTAGACAGAGAGGAGGGCACAATGTTTCAAAGCTTCGACAGACGTGCTGATGCCGCAAAGCACTATGGGATGTGTAGTCTTTGTAGCAAAATTGGCCAGCGAGCCATTATTATTGATATGTGATATTTGATCAGGGCCTGAGTTTAACACCTGTGCGTTGGCTGACGCGGCTCTGCAATATCGCGTAGACATCGGGGGCAGTCCCACTGGTCTGGCAGAACGGGGTGGTGGTCCGATTATTTAAAAAGGGAGACCACAGGGTGTGTTCCAACTACGGGGGGATCACACTCCTGAGCCTTCCTGGTAAGCTCTACTCAGGGGTTCTGGAGAGGAAGGTCCATTGGATTGTTTAACCTCAGATTCAGGAGCAGCAATGTGGTTTTCGTCCTGGGCGTGGAACACTGGACCAGCTCTATACCCTTAGGGGGATCCTGGAGGGTACGTGGGAATTTGCCCAACCAGTCTACATGTGTTTTGTGGATTTGGAGAAGGCATTTGACCACGTCCCTCGGGGCGCCCTGTGGGGGATACTCCGGGAGTTTGGGGTACCAGGCCCTCTGATACGGGCTGTTAAGTCCCTGTATGACCGGTGTCAGAGCTTGGTCCGCATTGCCGGAAGTAAGTTGGGCTCGCTCCCAGTGAGAGTTGGACTCCACCAAGGCTGCCCTTTGTCACCGATTCTGTTCATAACCTTCATGGACAGGATTTCTAGGCGCAGCCAAGGTGTGGAGGGCATCCGTTTTGGTGGCCTGAGGATCAGGTCTCTGCTTTTTGCAGATGATGTGGTCCATGCTTTCGTTCTTTTTTAAACACAGAAACAGTTTTGTTTACCTGTTTGTAGCTACGGTTTCGCCGACAGCTGCCGGCTTCTTCAGGCTGACGCTGATGGTGGCGCGTCACTTCCTTCTCCGTTTATCAAACAGGTAAACAAAACTGTTTCTGTGTTTAAAAAAGAACGAAAGCATGGATTTACAAAGACACAGCAAGAACACACCTAAGAAGATGATGTGGTCCTGTTGGCTTCATCAGAACGTGATCTTCAGCTTTCGCTGGAGCGGTTCGCAGCCGAGTGTGAAGCAGCTGGGATGAGAATCAGCTCCTCTAAATCTGAGACCATGGTCTTGATTCGGAAAAGGGTAGAATGCCTTCTCCGGGGCAGGGATGAGGTCATGGCCCAAGTGGAGGAGGTCAAGTATCTCGGGGTCTTGTTCACGAGTGAGGGAAAGCTGGAGCGTGAGATTAATTGTCGGATTAGTGATGCATCTGCAGTGATGCGGGAGTTGTACCGGTCTGTCGTGGTGAAGAGAGAGCTTAGTCAGAAGGCGAAGCTCTCGATTTACCGATCGATCTACGTTCCTACCCTCACCTATGGTCAAGAGCTTTGGGTAGTGACCAAAAGAATGAGATCTCGGATACAAGCGGCCAAAATGAGTTTTCTCCGAAGAGCGCCTGGGCTCTCCCTTAGAGATAGGGTGAGAAGCTCGGTCATTCGGGAGGGGCTCGGAGTAGACCCGCTGCTCCTCCACATCGAGAGGAGCCAGTTGATGTGGCTTGGGCATCTGGTCAGGATGCCTCCTGGACGTCTCCCTGGTGAGGTTTTCCGGGCACGTCCAACCGAGAGGAGACCTAAAGACAGACCCAGGACACGGTGGAGGGACTGTGTCTCTCACCTGACCAGAGAACGCCTTGGGATTCTCCCGGAGGAGCTGGGACAAGTGGCTGGGAAGAGGGAAGTCTGGGCTTCTCGCCTTAGGCTACTGCCCCCGCGACCCGACTCCGGATAAGCGGATGAAAATGGATGGATGGATCTTTAATTACTCAAGGAATGTTTAAAAACTCCTGAATCTTTTTTCAAAAGAAGGCACATTTAAGTTGAGGACAAAAAATGTTGGTACAACTGCACTGCTAAATCTAAATAACTGAACAAGAAGACCTCACATCCTTCTGAAAATGTTCAAGAGTTACCAGCGTTGGAAAAGACGAAAACATTTTCCTTCCAGGTATTCAGACAAATATGTGCCTTGTAGACTTGTTTTTGCTTTGATTGCATTGGTATCCCATAGCTCATCCAGCTTGTGCCCTGGCCAAACCCATAGGTGAAGGCTCGAGAACCATGCACTTGTCTTGGAGCCTCCCCCCAGGGCCTGGCTTCAGGGTAAGGACCTCAGTATTACTAGTGTGGGAAAAAGTTTTGGTCCCTTTGTCCTTAAGGTTACAGGAAGAGTTTTTGAACCATATTTCGTCTGGCCCCTCATGCAGAACATGAAAAGATCATCCCCCCAAAAGCCTCGTTCCAGAAACCCAGGCATCTGTTGTAATGAAACACTTAAACCCACCCTCCACAAGATGAATTTGCACGAGTTCAGTACATTTTTAAATCAATCAAAATAAATTGTGTTTTTG